CTCTAAATGAACCAACTATAGATTATGGATTCCAACGGTTGCAGAAAGTCATTCCCAGACATCCAGGTGATCCGGAAAGGTTACCTAAGGTTAGTACTCCATGCATTGTGAAGGGGTAACACATAATTATATGTTTTGAATAAATAAATTATATGCATTAGTATTTGTCCCACCAAAATGTATCAGATCAATTTGTAACAACAAGCTAACCTATTTTTTGGGCAGAGTATTCAGTTGTGTTGGTTTCTGATTCAGCAGCAAGAATGTGAACTTTATGCATTGTGAAATAGTTCAATTAAACATTTTCCACTCCAGTAGGCCGTAGTGATTTTTATCTAAGCTGCTCCACTCTGATCTATGATTATTTGACTCTTGTTTTCCTTTCATTTTCTGAAGCTTGATTTGGTTTAATCTTTTGTTTACAAAGCTTTTGTCATAAGTCCATGTCTTAGTAGACTAACAAATGAAGTTCACACATTAATATCTAGAGGCATTTTCATTTAATTTCAAAGGGAAAAGATGCCCGTATCTACTTTATACACACAACAAACTCAGATCAAAGAATTTTCAGTTTTGTGAACAGCAGTAAAGATAAGTTAAGCTTACAATTTTCCTTTTTCTTTGATAGGATATACGAACATGCAGAATTAATAAAACACCATTTGATTTTGGATTTTCAAACAAAAAATCTATTGCAATGCTATCATTGATCAGTTTATAGTGAATTTTTATACGGCGGATTCTGCACCGAGGCCACCATTGAGCTTTGATAGAAATAGCAAAATAAAATATAAGCTTTGAATTTGTAGCTATTAAAGCTCAGCATGGTTCATGGAAATAGTTTGTAACATAATCAATACTCGAATCTAGTTTGTTTCATGTCTCTTTAAAAATAGGCATTTTTTAAAATGATAATCAAAATATAAACATTCATAATTTCATCAATTCAAAGTTTTTTTTTCTGTGTGTATTGTTTGCATCCTTTTCAGGTGATGTGGTATCATATTATTCCGTTATATATTCCATGATCTTGTAATCTTCCAAACCACTGCATGCCTGATAAAAGACAAAGGGAGAAAGTATTTCTGTTTGCAGTTGTAACGCTTGATGCAAGATTTAGCATGTGCATCTTTTCTTACAGGCTTAGAACATGACAGGCCGGTTAGCATACACCCACAAGTGCTGCATTACTTAGCTCTTTTAATTCAGGTGAAACAGTATTGTTCAGGCTTCACATAAAACGATCACTGGATAAGATGAAATCTAGCAGTTTCAATAAACAACATAAATATTTGATTTTGTTCTAATGGACCCAAATGTGGAGTTCAGCGGCATGTAAATTAAACTGCCAAGCGATTCATCATTGTTAAGCCAGCCGTCTGAGGTTGGTTTGCAAGGGTCATAGCGGCTTCCAAGTAAAATAGCAATTGGCCCCAACGTATATTTTTAAATGAAACAAGAACAAGGATGAAAAAAAATCACCACAAAGAATTACAATGAAAAATAACAGAAACGAGAGAGTTCTGAGAATGTGAATTGTGTATCTCAATAAAGCTCAGCGGTGGAGAGAGCTCCTTCCACCATGACTTCACCCCAGAGTTGATAATATTACCACAGTATTGATTTTTTTTCAGCAATTTTTTTGAAGATCCGTAATGCACGTGGTTTGACGGATAATTGTACTGCGACAGAAAGCCAATACTTTCTGCATGTATTGCTTTGGACATACACTAATAATGTTGCTATAGTGACAAGAAGTTGGACTGAATTGAAGTTTACCTCCTAATTTTAGACAACATCAAAAATGAGCTGACTGACCCTATGGGAGTGACACAAATAGGCAAATGTTAGACACGAAAACAGTGAAAACAAAGCAATAAGAAAAAGCATTCATGTGCTAAAAGCAAAGATTGAAAGGTAGAGCTTTTAAGTGAACAGAGTCAGAGAAGAATTCTCATTCTTCTTAAGGCTTGTTTTAAAATTGAATAATTTTGCTCTGAAACCTGTAATATAACAGGTTAATTTAACAGGTTGAAGATAGAAAAAAATAAATTATGTATTCCAGTCACCTTAATAAATTATATTTAGTCTAAAGTGAGTAAGCAAAGGATGATTTTTTTTCCCCCTAGCATAATTAATTGCGAACATTTCCCCCCCCACCCACCCTCCTCCATTTCTAATGGCAAACACAAATCTATTATGTTTTCCTTTGTCTAATATACAAAAATTTATTTGGAATGCATCCATGTTGAGCAATTACCCAAGCATTAAAATTCATCTTCCTTCCTTACGTTTTTGAAGTAGCTACATCTAATGGTTTTACACTCTTCATTGTATTCATAACCTGAGGCAAGAACTAACAGAATAATTGCTTTACAGTTTTATAATGGCATTAGCACCTGAAGCAACATCACCTTGGTTACCTTTTTTAACTGTGATGATATATGTTATTCTAGGTGATCAGGCATGTGAATAATCATGTATATTCAAACTCTTTAAGACCAGAGTCCTAGTATGAATACCTGCAATAATAAAATTGTACATTCATTGTGAAACAACGGCTGAAATCATTTGAGGTTTAATAGTTTCCATTTAACTTGAAGTCTGTTATGTCCTATTGAAAAACAGCCAATTACACTTATGGCTAAGGTTTAGAAATTTCCATTGAAATGCTTTTCAGCCACCATTCCCCACTAATCGTATTCACAGCATGAGGCTGTGTGCATCAGCTAGGCATATTGTTACAAAACAAACTTGTTCAGCATATCCTTGACTGATTGGGTTACACTTTCTCTATGTCTGTAATATGACTAGACCACCTCTCAAGAGCACCACTGGAAGTAGGGTTCATTAGTTAAGATACTATCCTGTAATAGACAGATTAGTGATGAGAGCGTACGTAATTTTCCTAAACTATCCTTGTGTTCCAGTTGCAAAGTACCATATGGACAAGTAGGTGTAAGATATTTTCAGGGAATGAAAAATAGCTGGTAAATGTACCAATCTTAATTGCTTTAATCGTTGCTTAAAATTGAAAAGCATGTAAAAAATCTTGCAATATGATAGGAGAGATTATGAGTAATTATTAACACCTCTGGAAAACACTTTATCTTGTTCAGAGAGAGCTGCTCTTGCTGATGAAACCTGATTAAGACAGCTGTGCCTTTCATTGATTGTACCTGCTTCATGACAAGTATAATTCTTTATTTGTATGCAAACTAGATGCATGCAACATCAAGCATAGACACCAATTTCAGAGGTAAATGCCCATTGTACGAGCCATCCATCCGGCAACTTTCTATATTAAATGCTGTTCCTATAAACGTATGGCATGCACAAGAAGTGATGCCTACAGTGATTAATCTTGATAAATAAAGGATGGGTCTGCTCTTAGAGATGAAAGACACATTGAGCCGTGGTTAGTGCTACAAACACACACATTGTCCTTTGAAATGCTGGTATAAATTTGATGGTAGAAGGCAGGCACCCATTGTATTATTTTTGTCTCGGTCATCTAACGTCTATTTACATGAAAAGGTTAAAACAAAAAATTCATTTATTAACCTTTTGCGAACTGTTTCAAAGCATCAGCACCAGAGACAGCCCTTGGACTATTTTGTATTGATTGTTCTTGTCTTTTTTTTAATACTAATAAGCCTTTAATTGGAAAAGCCATCATTTGGTCATGGCAGTTTATTTTTCAAAGCACAGCAAAAGTGTAAAATGGTACAACTCCGTTTTTCTTCATTAAAAGAGTTAAATCGTGAATTAGTCCATGCAACTGTAAAACGAAAAGGAGGAATTCAGACAGGGATAAGACAAAATTCAGTTCATCCATACCCTCAGGCATAAGTACTCCACAATCTCTGGATGTGAAGTCATTTATGAAGTCCTTTACAACATGCAGTCAAAGAGGTTAATTGAAAAATTTCTTAATGTCATTATGAAAGAACTAGATTAACCTAAGTTAATTCACTTCATTGTTCAGAATAAAGAGGAATAAGCATTGAACCCTCTTGCAAATTTGGGGCATGAATTAGGGGTGAGATGTTGTCTTTGAAGACTCAGCCAGTTTAATTAAGATATGGAAAATTGCTCATTGTTCTTCACTACTAAAGTCCTAGGAATTAGCTGCCAGATGTGGTGCCTGTACCTTTCATATCTACTATGTGTTTGTTTGTTTAATACCCACAAGGCTACATCATTAAAACTCAAGCTTACCTTTACTTAATTCAGCATCTTAGCTAGAGACAAAACCACATAACACAAGGTGCTTACTGTATGTTGAGAATTGCTTTTCAACTATTGTAGCTGGATTTCTATATCACATTTGCACTTTTTAATTCAATAGTTCCTCCTAGAAATGTTCTAGTTATAACTGTTAATGTGCCTTTTATTTGTGTTTGCCAAGATAAAGTGCAAATACTACTTTTACAGTCCGTATTTTTCATACTCTTTCAATTTATTTTCTTTAGGAGGTATTACTGAAAAGAGCCGCTGATTTGGTGGAGGCCCTGTATGGAATGCCACACAACAACCAAGTAAGTTGGCAACAATCGACATGTTGTAAAAATAGATCGATAATGCAATAGGTAACAGGACAGATAGCTGTGAATTTGTTACAAGGCAGTAACACATCAAAGCACTCAAATGATGTCAGAAACCATGAAAAGGAAGCATTTCTGGGTTATCCATAATTTTTAATTCTTTGACATTTTACTGTCAGGAAATACACTCCTCCTCACAGGTAGGGTTCTTTGTAGCATTCATACAATTAGCTACCTTTTGAAGCCTATCATTATTTTTTAGATGCGAAAGACACACAACGAAATGCACCCACACGTGTAAAAATGGACATTTAGCTCTGGCTGATGTAATATTGCATTTGTTTTAACTGAGTGATGCAGGAAAATACTAACATGCATATGCATTCTCTGCTAATCAGAATCAACATGTTAATGATGATTAAAAAATTAACTAGATTGTCAGCCTTTTTTGTATTAATATTAGTAACCTCAAGGGCAAGCGTGAAGGGACCTGGAAAGTTTATAAACTTGGAAAATAAAGTTTAAAGAATTTGCTTTGTACCGGTTGCATTTTATACTTTAGATAGTGTGAAGCAAACACAGTTATAAGACGAATTTTAGGTAGTAACTCAGTCAATGCAAAATAAAATAATAATTAAGGTCACAATCAATTTGGCATTGCAAGCAAAATTGAAGCAAATTAGGAGTGTAACTTTTCTATAAAGTATGTGCAAAATGTAAATTTTATTTAAAATAACAGTTCCGATTTATATTTGTTCCTGTAGTATTCTAGTTTCCTCTAATTTAGCAAAAAAGCAATATACTCAGGCTCCTAACCTATTCACGAGCAAAAATAGGATTAGCATATATTCACTGGGTAATATTTATTTATATGCACATCAAATGGTTTCAATGGTCTGTAAAAGTTAAATCAAGCATGCAGCCTTAAATGAAGAGCAGCAAATTGTAATATTCTTTGCCTGACTTTCAACCCGACACACAGAGAAATGAAGTCATGTTACATGAAGAAACACAACTATCTATCGTAATAAAATATTTATTTGACACTGAAAATTATTTCTCACATTTTGTTGCTGTATGGCTGGAGTTTTGTTTGTACAGCTTTTAAATTGCATTGCCTGGTTTATCGGTATAGAGAAATGTTGACCTTATTACATTTTCCTTCCGGTTCCAAATATAATATATTGAAATATAAGAGGATTTCACTGTGATTTCTTTTGTTTTATATTTTACACATTGAGCTGCAAGGAAACTTGATGCACTCGTGTGCTTCCAGTGCATAGCTAAATCTTTGATTTGTTTCTCACAGCAAGTTCTTCTTACCAAGATGATACACATTTACAGATTAGTTCGGAGATCAATTCCAAATATAATATGCTACACACACGCACACACATCTGCTTTAAAGGAAGTTTTTTTTACAATAGTGGTCAAATAAATATTGTTTCAAAGATGGTTTAAGAATAGTACAAATATTTGTAACTGATTTGCTTCAAACTAAGTTGCACATTTTTCTGTGGTATTAAGTAATTGTGCATTGCACGTGCAACTAATAATCAGATCATAGCCAAAATCATCGACTCTCTGATTGCCTTTGTTTCGAAATTAGGCACATTTATATGCATGTCTCATATTTTATCTACTTTTCAGGAGATAATTCTCAAGCGAGCAGCTGATATTGCTGAAGCTCTGTATAGTGTGCCACGCAATCACAACCAGCTTCCTGCTCTCGGCAACACCCCATCCCACAGCGGCATGATGGGAGTGAATTCTTTCGGCAGCCAGCTAGCAGTCAATGTGTCAGAGTCATCACAGGGTAATGACCAAGGTATCCTAGTGTACTGCAGATAAATCCTACGACAGCCGTTTTCCTATCAGTGTACAATAAGTCCTGTCCTACATTGACTTTAGAGACCTCAGTAATGCTTCAAAGCCCTTTACCTAATTAATCTCCTTGGTTGTTTGACAATGTCACTAGATCTCTTTTCCTCCCACCACTGTTTACTTGGCACAGTAGTGAGTTACGCTGCCTGTACAAGGTGGTGTTTGAGTAACTGCTACATTGATGATTCAAGTAGTGTTTGGTGTTGTTATTATGCCTGAACTTTGTGATAGCAATAGAGACATTTTTCTATCGGTCAGTCATCTGCGCGAAATAAAAGTCACATAAAAATGTTATTTAAAATCCTGGGAAAGACAAGGAAAAAACACAGAGATTTCAATCAATTAAACAGATGAAAATCAATATAAATTGATGAATGCAGAACTTATTTCACAGGTGAGGACCCCCTGGCATGTCGCAAGTGATGATGACATGGATGAATTGCAGGGGCTTCCTCACAAGTGGAATAAATTGTGTTTTCCACAGTAGCTTACTGAGATTCTTAATATGAATGGTTTTCTGTTGAACTTTTGCACTGCAACAATTCTGAGAACATTTCAATCTTCAGCATGTTGAATGAAGCCCACCCTTTATCACTTTGGAAGCAAGTGAAAGCCAACTTGAAAATCCCTTTTCAGGCATTACAATCATAAGGTCTTCAGGGTGTAAATGAGGACCTGGTGTAGTAATACGTTAGAGTTTTCTTAGCTCTGCGATTTACTCCAAACCATTTTGAAAACTGTGCTTGCTTATTGTAAAACAAACTGTATGGACCTCTACTTTCCCTTTTGTTATATCAAGCTAGAGAGTGAAAACTATCCTCACTTATGACTTACTTCTGTAACAAGTTTGGCTTTTGGCTGAGATAGCATTATATTATTTTTCTATTGCTGCTGTGAGGATTCTAAAGATAGGTAAAACCTTGGGGAGATGTGGGGAATTCAAATGCCTTTTTTACTGTTTAGAAAGGTCTCATGCTGCTTAATCTTGGGGCTGTGTCAGCTAGTTATGTAATACAAGTTAATTAATAACTGTGCAACAATACTGACTGATTCCATGATTATTTTGGCCACATAAGTAATATAAATTGATTTATTTTGTTGCACTATACCATTAGATTGAGTTGAGTAATTCATTTATCTTGAGTTTGTAAACTAATTAAAAAATAAATGCAACCACCAAAAGTGTTAGCATACACAGAATAATAGGTGCTGTTAGTGCTTACCAGGCAATAATCTCATCGAGAGGTTCAGGTAACATAATTTTACCCTTCTGCTTCCTAAGAGGGATTCCCAATTGGCAGACCAGAGCAGTATTGTGAAACAATTTCACTTGGATGACAGAGGATGAGTGAATTGTGAGCTTGTCCTAAACCACCCATACTTCTTTTTAACTCTCTCCGAAGTACATTGTGAGATTGAGAGCAAGTAAAATTGGTAAATCATGCTTGCAAACAATTCACTCTGAAACTACATAAGAAAGTACAGGTTGGAAAAGACTGTTATGGTCATTCTGTCTGGTTTCAAAATGAAATCAATAATTCTACAACATCCCAACACTCATACCACTCAATTGTACTATTCACTAAAGAGCTATATAATTCCCCCTTGAGCTTGTTGGCGTAATCTGCCTCCAACATCTCCCTGGACAGTCTAACCCACATATTCATCACTCTGTGTAAAATAATTAAATCTGAACTGTTTGTTCATCTACCTTCTTCTGAATTTGAATTAATATCCCTTTGTTCTAGATTTATTGGCCATGTTAAGGCTATTATTAGAGTTCATTTTGTCTCTATCCTTCAGGATCCTGAAGATCTCTCATGAGCCTTCACTTCCTAGAGATTCCTTAGACCTTCCTCAAAGTACCAGCTTCTAAATTCTAAGACCCAGCATCCAGTAAGCAAATTAGGGCTGTGACTTGGAATAATCTATTCTTACATATAACTAATTGTAATTCCTCCAAACAAACCAACAAAATCTGATATAAGCCTATGAAAACATAACTTTTTTTAAAACAAAAATCTTGGAAGATGAAATATTCTTAAATACAGTAGTCTTTCAGATGTGAACTACAATACTGACAATAATACATTAATTTATAATGACTTCATTCAGATAAGGTACAAGTAATACAGGTAATACTGCATTACCTTCAAAATAAGAATAGATTGATAATAAAAGCCTTGCCATGTGGACAGTGCTTCACTATTGGAAGCATTTTCTGTAGAATTCCATGCCCATAGATGCTAAATTGGAGACCGGGGTTGCAGAATCAGTCTGCCAAGCCATTCTGTCCAGAAACAAATCACTGACATCCATGTCTTGACTTGTATTGACCTCATAAAAAATAGGATCGAGAGAGAATCCCATCCGGACCTTGGTAAGATTGATGAATGAGGTAAGTCGACCTTGTCTGGATATAATTGGGAATCCCTAGTTAGTGATGATCATCTGAACCCCAAGATAAGATCTCTGCCTGGAAATTACTCCCATGTATCCATTCTTTTTATAATATATGCTGTGCAGTTAATGGGGTCGTTTTCTTTTATTTTCATTCCATTTCTTTGTCGATGGTGGATGTTATGACAGCTATCGACAGCTGGGAGGCTTAATACGGTTGATATGTGATAATGCCCTCACAGAAGGATTATGATTATGACACAATCACAAGCAAGTTTAGTGAATGATAATCTGCAGTTCATGACCAGAAAATAGCAGTTAATGTATGTTATAATGATATAAATAAAGAAGCACAATTCAGCTTGGTTCCTTTGAGGGATCTGCAGGTGGTCCAAAACAATAGTTTTTCCACCCACAATTTTGTCCCCTCCTCTACTAAAGGTGGTGACTTAAGCAGAAGTGCAGTGCCGCAATTTAAATCTACTTTTGTGCACAATACAGTCTAACTCTTTCTACCCTCCCAAATCCCCCAGTGGATCTATTATATAAGAAAACCTGGTCCAGTAGGACCACTATGTACTCAATGAGTCTATTCTGGATAAAGTCTCCTCCTCGGTGGAACAGTTTTGTGCATAAACCCCCTTGTAATAGATCCACACACCCTCCTCCCAGCAAATTATTTTGTAATGAAATCTCTCTTCCAGAAAGTGTATTTTGGAATAAAAAGTATCCCCCAGTGGATAATTATCCTGCCCTCCTTATAGCATACATCAACACCCTCTGGCCCGGTTAGCTTTTATGAACTGAAATGCATTTCAGTTATTCCGCATAATGGAACGTAAAAAGGTAGTCACATATGAGATAAGTCATTTGTGTATACAGCATTTCAAAATAAAATTTGGCCTTTAAGAAAAGAGATTTGAAAAACTGGGGAAAATGTTAATTCTACAATTTGGTGGATGGGTGGGATAGGATTAAAGAGTCTGGAATAATTTAGACAATAGGAGATGGAGGAGAATACATAGGTTTGTTTGAAAACAACTCCTATCTTTCCTTCCTCCCCCCACCCTTTCCTAGCCCACCCCCCCAGACTTTGCGCAAGTGACATGAGCATTCATAAAGCGTATATGCCCATAGTGAATATTGGTACGCTATTCAATGTGGAGAACATCATTTCCATGCTAAATGCCACATACAATTTTGTACCAGGTGCCACTTGATAGCGATCAGGACTGGGGAATGATATATGATTATCCCAGAGGTGCTGAGACTGATCATAGCACTGCTATTGCTCCTCCATTTATGATCAGCTCATCATCATAGCTAGTTGCTCCTAAACCACAGCCAGGATTTAGTGTCATTTATCTTGAATAGTTCCTCAGGATTACAAGATGTTGATCAGGTCAGGCAGTGTTCAAGTGTCTGCTTGTACTCTCCACATCTGTGGTCATTTCTCAGTTTCCACTTGGTCATATTGTCACCGCTCTTTGCCTCCTAATGTGCTCTTTGAATGTAACCCTAACTACACCGGATATTCATAGTGCTTGTGAATTGTAGCATCCCACATTATCTGGAGTTTTTACTTGGCCTGTCGGTGTTTCAGGTGGAAGCTACATACTTATATCTTGCTAATGTTGGCATTCATGGACCATGTGCGATAGTACTCTCAAATTACACTCAGAGAGTTAGTTAGGATGCACTGAATTGCAACTTGTTCACAATATGAACGACCTGCGTGTAAACCAGCTTGTTGGTCAGTTCGCTGCCATTGCCGTTATTCTACCCATTATCATCTGAGACGGAGACGACTTGTGATCAGCTGACTTAGCACAGGCCAGCAAACAAATCTAGAAACCTGCAGCTCTGTATAGCTCAAGTTTCATTCGAGCCAGATGACCAGTTAAATGACCTTTGACAACATATCAAGAAAGTACTGGAAAACATTTGCTCTGTTATTAAAATGCAATTTTACTGCAATAAACATAATGCTTCTTGAAGATATTTGAAGATTGTTCCAGAGCAAAAAAAAAAGTTCATTCTGCCTGTGGCTTCACTCCTTGAATCAAGCCTATTGATAATTACTGTTAGTTGGACCTGTTGTAAGCTCCACTGCATTAAAGCTGCAGCCACTCACAAGTGTGTTTCAAGTTAGTGCGAAGATTGATTGAAAACATATCCAAAAGGAGTCTTTCAAACGCTATAATGTAAACTTTTCTCTTTACAGTAGGGTATAGCCGTAACACAAGTAGTGTGTCCCCGCGTGGATATGTCCCCAGCAGCACCCCTCAGCAGTCAAATTATAACACAGTCAGCAACAGCATGAACGGATATGGTAATGCTGCAATGACCAACCTGGGGGTTCCAGGTTCTCCTGGATTTCTGAACGGTTCATCAGCCAACTCCCCCTATGGCAGTAAGTGTACACTTTAATCGCAATATCTAGGCAGTGGCTCCATGTGCAGTTTTGTATTGAATAAATACTTGCATTAAAAATGTAACATTTTACGTTTGTGTGATGTCAGCTACTGGATAAAAGGAAGGGTGACTCTGGAGGCTGGACACAAATAACTAATAACTGCAAACTTCATTGAGCATTGGACTTGTGCACGCCACACAATAATCAATTCAAAAACAATTGGGATGAGAATTTTTAACAACAAGAAGTCCATCGCAAAAGAGTTTGCCTATTATCCAGGGAGTGGCCTAGGCCAGGACATTTTATTTCTAAATTTTGTGCTAATTTCTAAAATTGTTAGAATTCAACAAGGCCTTCTCTACTACTCCTTGTATTCGGTACAAACCTAAATCTCAGCCTGATTATTTTTGCTTTGTTACAGTAGTGCCGTCAAGCCCCACCATGGCAGCCTCTTCGGTCACCCTTCCTTCAAACTGTAGCAGTACACACGGCATTTTCTCATTCTCACCTGCCAATGTCATCTCTGCAGTGAAACAAAAGAGTGCATTTGCTCCTGTTGTCAGGCCTCAAGCCTCTCCTCCACCATCTTGCACCAGTGCAAATGGAAATGGACTTCAAGGTGAGCTAGAATCCTTCATTCCCTGATCCACCTCAGGCATGCTCATCCCATACAATAATAAACACAAAAGTCATAACAACCTTCCAATTGAGAAAAACAAATTTATTGCAGTTGTACAGACTGTACTGGTTAATCATTCTTAAGTTTATACCAATAAATACACAAATGTGTGGAAGCCAGACTATGGTTAGAATCACAATGTGTTGTAACCAAAGTCTGTGGTTCATCACAGTTGTTTCCAAATTCTTTGCTTTCTTCTTTAAGCATTTGGTTGAATGATTTAGAAGCAGTTAAGAAATGAATGCTTGAGGAGCCTGATTCTATTTTTGTACAACCTTTAGGGGACTTCATTTGAAGTCAAATAAATTTGTGAATTTCACACATTTCACTGCAGCTTTGATTTCGTTACATGCATTTACACAATAGATAAGAAAACACATCTTCAGATGCAATTAGGCATGGCTTCAAGCTGCTTCTGTCCTGAGTGTGTAGTGGATATTACCCACTAAATGAGTCCTGTGTCAGTAGTGTCTATGTTAATTTGATGTTCTTTGTGGTCTATTGTTTTGTCTTCACCAGGCTGACCTCGTGTGTAGCCTTCTTGTCTAAGTCATTGACACAGTTAAGATGCAACTGTGACTAGAACCTGCTGATAACAGCCAGTCAGTTCAACATTATTGCTGTTTTTTAAGATCAATAGTGGCTGACACTGCTTCAAAAGAAAAGCAGATGTTTAACAAATAAAGAATTATGTAAATTGAGTACAATTTCACATTATATGATTTGGTAAAGTGATTTCACTCACTTCAAATCTGAAGCAATAGTGGGAAGGCTTTCCCCACTGTTGGAAAACAAATCTAAACAGCTGAATAGCAACAATGGAAAATTTGATGTTTCAGTGGCATAGACATTTTGGCCATAAAGAATAGAAGTTGTAATTTTCTGCCTGGTTTTACAAGTGTGGAACAACTCAGACAACATTGTTGAATTAGTAATTAAGATAATTCATTGCTTGTGGGAGATAATTAAGGTGTTAAATCTATGATTTTTTGCTGCCTCTGAAGCTTACCGAAAATAGCGGTGTTTAACAATGGTCTAAGTTGATGTGAAATTTCAAGACTGTGCAGTGTGTTACAGCATTGGCAGTGTACAAAGAATTTTGTACTAGGCACTGACTTGAAACCCAGACTATCCTCCGTGAACCTCACGTTTTATATATTTTATATTTTTAAATAGATATTTTATCGTTTATGCTTTTTATGTAAAACATCTAATGCCAACATCTGTAATGCCAAATTATTAGTCTATCGATGTTGCTGAGCTAAGATAACATTGCACAGAGGAGCCTGACCCGGATAGGCTCCAAAGTAGTGGCTGCAATGTTCATTGTCTATTTGCACTAATGTAAAAGGTCAATAATTGGAATTCTTGTAGTGGAAACGGGAGTGTGCCTAAGGTTTGAAGAATGGGGAACACAACACCGATTTATGTAAAAGGGGCAAAAAAAAAAGACTTGATAAGGCTGAGATCAGTTATAGGGAAAATATGGGCGGACATCCTGAAAGTGGAAATAATGAAACACAGAGAAAAGTAGAATTATAAGAGGGACCCAGCATGCTTCATGGGAGGGAGATTGTGTATGACAATTCTATTGAAATCCTATGAAGAAATAACCAAACTTGTGGACAAAGGAAACTTTGTAAATATTACACATTGTTTTTAGAATTTAACAAAGCTTTTGACTCAGTGACACTTGGAAGAATGGTCCACAAGGTCAGAAGGCACAGAATTGGGGGGAGGAGGCTTCTAAATTGGATTAGAAATCGGCTAGATCACAGGAAGCAATGGGTGGTTGTACATGGGTCTACATAAACATGGAAGGAAGTAACTAGCAGAGTGCCTCAGGGATCAGTGCTTAGGCTGATGCTATACATAAGTGATTTGGCAGTTGGGACAGAAACCAAGCTATTGAAGGTTGTTGACAACAAACTTGGGGGAATTGCTAATAATAGGGAGCAGGCTGACCAAATCCAGGGGAAAACAATTTTCTTGAAGTTGTTTGAAAAGTATCCCCCTTCTATCTGGGCACATTTCCACTGTATTTTCCTGTGTCCTTTGCACATTTCTTTCTTATATATATATATATACACTAATGATCTTAGTTGCTGCTAATTATGAGGCCATTTCCTAATTAGTTACTTAAAGCTGCTGAGCAAAAAAATAACAACTTATCCCGTTTTCATTAATCAACCAGATTTACTGCCTGATTTCTTTCTTAAAGGCCTTAATGACCGATGGAGGAAAATTCCCCCCAATGAGGCAAGTTATTTTAAAATTTGAGGTAAATACAATGACAAATTGTGGTGAAAATGCAGAAAGAATATACAAAGTGTACTTTAAAGCAGTCTGAAAACTCCATTGAAAATGCACTTTGTAAGTTATTTCACTGACATTTCCTTTTATTTCAGTTGCCTTTTGTTTAAAAACTAAATGTACTGCATAGTACTGACATAGCGTAATGTGTGTGAAATCAATGAAATGGAAACATTGAGAGGTGTTGCATTCTGAAATTAATAATGTTTCCATTGTTTATCAAAGTACGTCTCAAACAATCAACAGCATGGCTTGTTTGCAGTCACTGGTTTTAGGGTTAAAAAAANTGAACAATTTAACAGAAGTGTAAATATTCTTTGTGTTGCACCATGGTGGGTTTCATGTACTGGAGACCTTTGATCTCAAACAGGCACTGGCTCGGTAATGCAGTTATTATGATAAAATGCAATTAACAGAAAGTAAAAATTGAGGTCCTAAGGTAAAGTCAAAGTGCTGGAAGAAAAGCAGCAAGGTTGCTAAGATTTCAATTTAAGGAACCTGAGAAGTGTCTAGTCTTTGACTACTGAGTGAGCCAGCCCTGTCTGACGTTACCAGAACTGACCATGTTGTTTCTCACCTGTCAGCAAAGGCAGCCTCCAGGGAGTCTGGGCCACTGTTTGCCATTAACAAAACGCTAAGAGAAATATCACACATGTGAGAGGCAGTATGCTTTTCACCTAAAATGTCAGTGTCCTCCTCTTTTAAAAGTGAAGTCTTTGTGGAATGTCTTGTTAAAAAGCACATTTCTCTTTTTTAGTCTGGACCTTGGTGGGTCATACTAAATAGCCCCATAATAACAAAGACTTGACTTCCAATTCAACAACTTGCTGCCACATGATTTTTAATCTCACATATATTTAGCGACAATACTACTTATATACTGATGAGTTGCTAATGGAGATTTTGTTTCCTTTTTTTTAGCTATGTCTGGGCTTGTAGTCCCACCAATGTAAGACCACACTTGTTTACCTAGAGCAAAACCAAGCTTCCAAGATGAGCTTCAGGGGACAAGTTCATTAAATCAAAGGATGCTGTCAGAAAAGTATGTGCAACAATGAAAAAATACAACTGAACCTGTTAAGAAGGAAAATAAAAGACATTATTACTCACTGAATTTACTCAAACCATTAGGAATTGACCTGCAAGCAACCTAGTTCTTCATGAACAATTTCATTTTATTGACAGAACTTTCTCATATTTTCACATTTCTCTATCTTGAAGAAACAAAAAAAAGCAATGCCTATTTTGTATAAAGTTTCAGATGACGTCTTGGCTATGTCTAGTTCTTGCTATGTGTTGGGAGAAACTTTGTGGATGCACCATTTTGATTATCATGAAACACTGATGAAATATTCCTCAAGCAGAACATTTTTCAGTACTATAACTAGATTCACAATGGTTGTGTATCTCTATAATGTGAAATAATTTTTGTGGGGGTAAGTAAGGGGCCAAGGAGGTATAAGCCATTGAACTGGAAGGAGAACACTAAATGTAAGATTTAGGAAATGGGGACTTATGGAGGGCTAGGGGAAATTTATCATGCTTAAATTCATCTTAAAAATGAACTTTGTAACTTATTGTAGTTAGAAATTGTAACTTTGATATTGCAAAAATTCTTCTCTTGCCTTCAACAAGCACACTGACAGAGATACAAAAGCTACTGTCTGTTGGTAAAGAATATCCTTCCACTGCTAGAGCTTCCTGTTAAACAAGTGTGATCTGCAATGTTTTTTCAACTTTTGCTAGCACTGTATACTATTGCATTCTTAGGCTACTGTGGAGTCTACGTTCCTTGTACCAGAAAGTTGTCCTTTGACTTCTAGATCCTTCTCCCTAATGTGTTTTGTATGTGGTTATAAAATATTGTAGAATTTTGTGATTTTGCCAAAGTTGTAGCTAAATATTTATACACTTGTCTTGAATTTTTCAGATCCACTTAATATTAAGGAAAGAGGTTTTATTCCTTATGATGTCTGTAAGGAGTAAAATAGTCTTATTCTTCATTGCAACACTTTCTTTCACATAACACTTGCAGTCACTAAGCAATTTTTGTAACATATCAATATAAATATTGTATTTATCTTTGAAATTTTGTATATTGCTTTCCTTCATTTTATTTTATCTTGTATGTATTCTTTGTCACAGCCAGGTATTGTGATACCCAAGGATCATTAAGCCAAGAACATTTGCTTTCATCTCTTTCATTTGAAAAGATTGCTTTATCCATACGTTTCATTTGCATTACCGAAATCTGTTGATTTGTTCAGAACTTCCGTCCATTTTTTTATTTGAGAAAAATCAAATTCATTGTTTATTTTTATATAATTTTTAAGTTATCTGAACAAATAATTTTGAATAAAACTGTTGTTGTATAGTCAAAAGAAATTGTTTGTGCCACATGGCTGTAATGAATAATAGTAGAAAATGTGCATGTGCAGCAGCCACAGAAGGATGATTCAATTTGTGGTTGTAAATTATGTAGAATGTAATATTCATTTTTAGCTGCCACCCATGAATTTGCCACTTAGTTAAAAAAAATGTATTTACTGGAAAATTTGGAGGCCTAAAGTCAAAACGGAAACTTCAGTTCATCTGGTAAACTGATGTTTGATTAAAAATGTGTCAATTAAAATACAGAAAGACTTCTCTGATGCCTTAACATTGGAGTTCTTGACAGTAACTTTGGTGCCACTCTGTCATTGGTTTACACCACAATTGATAATCATCACTGCAGCTGTCAAGGATGATCTATGGTGTAAAAAGCACAAACTTTGTACAAACACTTTCTCCAATCCCCTGCATCCTCCACTCTGTTGTACACTGCAAGTCCTCAACATACAAGTACCGTACTGCAGCATCTGAAAGTGGAAGTGTATTTTCCAATGTTTCATGCCCGACAGTGCCAAAACAATTTGCAAAGGCAGAAAAAAGGTGTTTTTCTGCCTTTGCAATAGCACTGTGTGCTTTGCTAAAGCAGCATGCAACATGCTTTGCAAAATGCAGCAGAATTGGAGGTTGACTCACAATGGGGGAACATGTATTGTCATTCTAGGCAAAATGCACACTTAGTAACTGTTATTTTATTTAATTCAAAAGTGAAAGATGTATCACAAGTGTTGAATGTGCAACACATTTACTTTGTGATAGATTCATACATCGTACTTACATGGAAACATCTCAGAGATTTTCCATATATCAGATTATATCGTTCCAAAAGGAGTCATGTACATGTGAAAAAAATTGCAAGATTCATCATTACTGCAGTATGGTTTGTGTTTTAGATTAATTAGTCAATGCACTCATTGCTTCCTTGTCTTCAATCTTAAAGCTTCACCACATGGTAGAAATAACTGTTAAGGAAATTACAGTAAGATTGTTTTATCTGTACATTTTTCAGATATTTAACTGTATAAAAACTGTTCATTTTACACGATATTTAATTAAAGTATTTCTTGTCTGTGAATACTCTTTTGGTAATTTGATACAAGGTCTCTGAGAATCGGTAAAGAAGCAGTCACACCAATATGAAGATCAACAAAACATTTGCACTCAATTTCCTAATCCCCTTTCCCCAGTGATAATTTATAAACATAAGTAAACATAAGTAATGTGCATCTCCATAAATGTGAGTCTTTTCCTTTGGGACCCACCTTTTTAGATTTTCCAGGCAAACCTTTAATGGCTTACGAGCTATTTTAGTTTTATTTTCTCCCTCAATCCCAGGTTCCGCCACTGTTAAGCGCTCTGATACGCTACCCTGCCTGGAGGGCACTATATAAGTGCAAATTGTTGTTGTATTTAAACGTAAAGATCAACAATTTTCCACCCACCAGGTTGTGGAGGTATGGAATTCACTGCCTGAAAAAGTTGTAAAAGCTTCAGGTCAATGGAATATTTCAGAGGGTGGTGGGTGAATATTTGGTAGGCAGGTATGTCAGATGATATGGTGAATGAGCAGGGAAATGGGATTAAGTTGCCGATCAGCTGTGATCTAATAAAATGGCGCTCAAAGGGCTGAATGGTCTATTCCTGTTCCTATCTTCTTATGTTCTTATAAAGAGTTCCTGCGTTTGAGCACAAATACATGTACATTATTGGTTTAACCTCCAGAAGAAATCTTTCAGTTTCTTCGCGGGTCACTTTGTACTCGTAAAATATCTGCGTTAGTTTCCACGTTAACAATAGTAACTAAAGTTTGTTGTCTAAACTAAGTATGGAGTACTTCAAAATGCATGACATAGCATCAGATACAAATGCACTGCAGCAAACTGTTCAATTTGGTAATCTCAAACTAACAAAGTGATTGCAGCAGTAAAGAACTTATTAGTAAATCGACCTATGTGTACCCTATCTAACTGGATTATTTTCAGTTGAAAATCAACAATGAGGCGCACCGCGACAACTTCGATGGAAAGTTTAAATGAACTAATTTCTGATTTAAGATTCACAAGGACATTTGTGTGATATCCTCTGTTAAAAGCCAAGGAGTTCAGTCTCTTATTAATTCACATTTCTGTGGTGTTTAAAACCTCTTTAATCTGAATAAATCATTGGTAATGTAGCCTGGTTCTACAATATTAAGATGGTTGTAATATACCAATAATAACTAAATTATCCGTATATCAGTAATGAGCAAATTAAATGTTTTATGCGTGTTCAGCAATACCAACATGCAATACTGTAATTTGTCAAGTGCGGTGAAACAAAAGCTGTCTCCTCTTTACATAATGGGAAAGCTGTAATAAACCACATACACGGCAAATGCCAAACTATTTCATTTGTTGATTTCGTCTTTATGCGAGCTTTGATAGAAACGTCCCTTTAGAAATGCTCTTTATCAGATCATTTACACCAATATATTTTTTGCATTCAATTTGTATCAGAAGATGTGTTTTGACATGTTTTGGTTCAAAGTCTGTTAAAGTATACAGTGTAAATTAATGCTGGTTCATGTTGCTTCCTTAATTGGTTTTCTAGGAAATAAATATGCATATGGTATCCTATTCTAATAACTAATGCATTCGACTAATGACACAAAGTTGTGTATAAAGAATAGGATTTGTATTAGCATTATATTGGCTTGGGCTCATAAGAATATACTATGTGTCAAATAAATCGTATAACATAAGGCAAACTAAATTAAGTGGTTAGCAGAAGTCAACTTACACAAGATATTTTATCTCCATATTCCTTTATGCATTTGCCACTTATTCTGGAGCAGCCTTTTAAAGTCTTCCAAGCTTTTAAAGATTATTCAAAGCATTTGAAATGGGCTTCAATCTAATGCCTCATTTCATTGCATTAAACAGCCTATTTAATAAAGAATCAATATATTCAAAGGGCAAGGTTATCTTTTGTCTATAAGGGGTGGTATCATTTTGAGCCCTTTATAGTTCAAATGCTGAAAAAGGCTTCATGAAATCCATACTCATCAAGCGGGTCAACTAGAGCAATAAAAAAGACCTCTGTACGAATAGCTGCCCTCCCTAAACAGAATTATAAACCTTATCTTGGCTCAGTGAGTAGCCACAAATAGTGGGTCGGGAAATGTCAATTTCTCATCAAGACAACACACCCAAATGATAATTTTCCATAGAATACATACAATTAAGAGGATGTAGAAAGGCAGCATCAGTGATTTAGACCGATCACAGCTTATTATGTCAACAGCAAGCTGCGATCTAGCAGTAAGCAGATAATGACTGTTGTTGATAGCAAAAGTGTCAATATGCGAAAGAACGATTTTTGAATGTGAGTCCTTGTGCTTTCTTGCCTTTCGTTGATGCTACGGCCTGATAACCGAGCATCTGCCAAATGACACTACGTATTGTAGCTCACAATTAACAGGCTGAATAAATGGCACAAAGAGTTGGAGTTCTTTATATTCTTTGAGACAATTCTCTGTTTTTACCCTTCAAGGGTTTCTTTTATCTTTGCGAGAGCTCGCTTTTAATGAAATCTAAACTCATCAGAGGAAATCAAAAACCTCAAATCAGATTACAAATTGATTTTTGGTCACTTGTCATTAAGCAGTCTACTGCCTTGTGTTCCACAGCAGAAGCAGAAGCAACTCTGGAACATCTGACAGCACGAAAACAATTTCCACTTAAGATAATTATATGGAGGTCACCAATGGTTTTACATACCTTTATATCCACATTAAAGTTACAAGGCATTCCAGATATCCTCTAATATGCAATCATAAACTGCTACTAAGAAGTGTATAATTAATTGATATAGGTGTTTTCATATTTTTACAAATAAGTAATTTTATAGTAATAGCTTATGAAGATTAGCGAACATAATTTTCTGATTCAGTACCGTCAAATGTTGCAGAATAAGAAATTTGAAACTCCCCTTCTGTTGTTATATACTAATGGATATTCTATGTCATATTTGTACATGACCATTAAATATTCATAAATTCTAAATCAATAATACTTCATAATTAGGATCTACAATACCTACACACTACATGGCCTCCACAGACTTAAATGAAGTCAAAGGTTGTAATGTCAATCAAATTGGAAAACTGGTACAGCCATTACTATTAAAATAATTAACTTATCCTTTTTCAGACCTCAAATGTAGTGTTTGTTCTGGAACAAAATACAGCAAAACATGCTATTGATTGGAAAATATATTTATAGAAGCTCTACTTACAGTATCACTTCAAATGTTTCTGTACATCAGAAGATTCTGCCTTTTAATAACGTACAAAAAAATATATTTGCTTAAAAAGACAATAATGTTATCTTAGTTACAGGTTAGTTATATGCTATTAGTTATAGGTTGGGTTTCAAACTAGAAAATCGATACTCATCATGATGGCCAATGTGTGTTGGAACATTTTTCCACTTGGAACTTAGTGAGAGCGTCAAACATTGTTAGGTTAGGTACAGCATATGCCAGATGCAATGAAATGCTTTGCCAACCTTTCCCTGACAATGTACCTAAACCCTAGTCTCAGCAGAGTAACTGCTGCTGTGCCAATATGACTTTTCCATTTCCTACACTGTCTATTCTTATGGCCTCTCCAAGTGACTTTGATGAATTATGCCAATTGTGCTGCATTTGAAGGAGGTTTTGTGATGTAGAATCCTCCACTAGGCACTGAATTCAATTTAGCTTAGCAGTCGTCAGAAATGGGAAACTTTCATCTCTGAGCCACATTTGAGGCAGGTCTTAGAAGGAAGAACTGAACTGTATAATACAGGGGTAATTGTTTTTTATAAAATCACAATTGTATCAATTAACACTGTTGAGGACAACTCCGCAATAGTGCAAATCCAAATGGGGAAATGTATAGAAGGAAATTAGCAGCATTCAATTTGCAATTTTTTTTGAATTTGGTATCAAGGTTCAAAGCAGAAGAGATAGGGTTAAATTATATAAATGCTGTATGGATTTTTTTCCTTTATTAGTTTCAGAAAATCAATGTACGAGGTAAGCATTACTGCTCCCTCTTTAACTTTTTTTGATTAATTTTTCTCGTAATAATGGGGCTAACTTTCCAAACGAAATTCTTAATTCACATTGATCCAAATTCAATTCATTCAGATACATTTGAGGGAAAAACAATCCAAATTTCAGAGTATTTGAGATGTGGATTGCTTCAGAAACTTTGTAAGGTATTGAAAATGCAGATAAAATGTTAGTGACCCTACTGTCCAGCACTTTGGGACGTGAAAGGCGCTCTATAAACGGAATCTTGTTGTTGTTGTTGTAGTGGAGTCTGGGATTGTAACTATAATTGTACTGGATTATTTATCCTCTTAACAATCTCATATTTTAGCTCACAAAATAGACAGTCAATTCACATTACCGTATATTCTGTGAAACGCTTTGAGACGTCTCGAAGATATGATAAGGCATTATATCGAATGCAACAATTATTATTATTATAACACTCTCTTTTGTAATCGTGTCCATTTTGGGAATTTATTTGTGTCATATCCAAGCAGCTCCTCTCATTACATAATCAATTCAACATTGATGTCTTCACTCCATATTAGCAACCAGTTTATTTCTTGCAATGGTTCTTTTAAAATAGTAGCTAATCAGTTCAGCAATTATTTTACTTAGTAAAGACACATTCCCATACCTGCTCCCAACCTCCTGCAACTAATTCACGCTAGTTTGTAATGGTTTCACTGCCAAAACTTACCTAGTGCATTTGATCTTGACAATAAAAGTTTAAACTTTAAAAGGATCTGTTAAGCTCTGGGGGAAAAAACATTGCAGAAGGTTTCAGTCTGGCTCAGTAAGAGCACTCTCACTTCTGAGACAGAAGGTTGTGGGTTCAAGCTCCAATTCCGGACATGAACTCAAATAGTCTTTGCTGACACTCCAGTGCAGTGCTAGGGGTGTGATGCATTGCTGGAGGTGCCGTTCTTTAGATAAGATGTTAAACCAAGGTCCTGTCTGCCTGTTCAGGTAGATGTTAAAGATCCCATGGTACTTTTCGAGAAGAGAAGGGAATATTTCCTGG